CGCCCTTCCTCTTTCAAGTCTCTTATCCTTATCTAAGGATCTTATCAGAAGAACAATATTCATAAGTGTAATTTCCCTAGGTATAACTTGGTTAGTTTCCGGGACTTTCTGGTTATCCACTGCCGTGATATTTTCTAGGGTAATCCACTTATCTTATCTTTTGACCCATTAATTAATTTATCTAGGTTTTCTTAATGGCCACCTCAGGATTTGTTAAACTTGGTAGTCCTGGAGGAGTGGAAGAGCAAGATACCATTTCACATCTTGAAGCATGTGGAGGAGCGTGGAGAGGTTAATTTAGGACGTGCGGCTGAGCTGGCTGATGAGTACGCCTTGCTGGTGGAGTCACTGTGCCGTAGGGAACGTGGTACTTTCCGGCATGTTAGGTCCTCCTCTGATGATAACCTTGGGGACGTGAGTGGTAGGTCGAAAGGTTCCACACCTACCCCCCCTGATGCAACCAAGTTTTATTGTTCTTACTGTAAAAAACCAGGCCATACGATCCAGTCTTGTAAACACCCAAAGTGTCGAACTGCTAAAAGTAGTTCCCTGGATCCCAAATTCAAACCAATAGCAACCACCAATGTGGAAAGGCCCCATCAGGAGCTCTTCTCTTCATTCACCTATGAGGGAAAAATTTCAATCATAGAGGGGTCTCGTTCTTTCCCTATTCGTATACTACATGATACGGGCGCAGCACAATCTATCCTCCTGTTTAACGTCATTCCTGATATATCTACCGCATTTACTAATGTGTTCTAATTTCAGATCTCTCATCCCATTCTTCCTATCCCTTAGCTAAAGTGCACCTCCAATGTCCCTTGATTACTGGGGAAGTGCACGTAGCCATTAGGAAAGATCCAATGCCTGTGAGCGGCATTCATTTATTATTGGGTAATGACTTGGAAGGAGATCTAGTGGTTCCCAACATAAAGACAGTCGACTCTCCCTTACCTGTCAACTCCACCACTGACCTTGAAGAAACTATTCCTCACCTTTTCCCATCTTGTGCTGTCACCCGGTCACAGAGTGTGCGAAATGAGCCCTCTTCATCTAAAACCACCTCCAATATCTTCCTACCCACAGAAGATCTGTACAATAAGACCATTAGTAAGGATGAGCTCATTAAAGCCCAACAATCTGATCCATCTTTGTTCAAACAGGTGATGAATGACCTCAGTGTGGACCATTGTACATCTTCGGCTTACCACCCACCGTCCCAAGGTTGCCTGGAACGGTTCCATCAAAACTTTCAAATCAATGCTAATAAAGTATCTCCCCTCAACTATATAGTCCATACTCCTGATCGCAGAAAAGATTCACAACTTGTTCACATTAATCTCATGAAACTTTACCATTCCAGGCAGTCAGAGGAAGACATCCCAGAGGCTATAAGCCTACCTGTATTGCATACGGTTTTGTCAGGGCCGGAGCCGGAGACAGATGACATGGATCTATTGGAGAATTTAGACTTCCCTCTACCTAAAGAAAACCATGCTAACAGTCACATACTCAACAACTTGGATGAGTATTTTTCTGTTCTGAATCCATCTCAAGCAAAAGATCTCACTAAGTTATTATCAACATTTCCTAAAGTCACGTCAGACCTCCCAGGGTTTTGCAATATACTTAAACATGATATTAAGCTAATCTCAGATGATGTACAACCCATTAGGCAATCAGCCTATCGATTAAATCCACAAAAAAGAGAGATTATGAAAAAGGAGCTAGACTTTTTGTTAAAACATAACTTAGCTGAGCCTAGTACCTCCCCCTGGGCTTCACCTTGCCTTCTCATTCCAAAACCCGATAGCACTTTTCGTTTCTGTACCGATTATCGTAAAGTGAACTAGGTCACTGTCTCAGACTCCTACCCTTTACCTTTGATTGAAGATATAATAGACAGCATAGGCTGTGCAAAATTTATCAGTACCGTGGACCTGTTGAAAGGATATTATCAAGTGGGACTCACGGATAGGGCAAAAATAATCTCAGCATTTATAACTCCATTTGGTCTTTTTCAATATTTGGTTATGGCGTTTGGCTTTTCCAATGCTCCGGCCACGTTCCAGAGGGCCATCAATTACCTGATTCAGGACCTAGGTGGGACGTTCGCCTACCTGGATGACCTGGTGGTGGTGTCGGACGGCTTGGACGAACATCTGGTGCGTTTGGAGATACTGTTCACACGGCTGCAAGAGACTGGATTCACCATAAACCTGGCTAAATCTGCTTTTGGCCGGGCCTCAGTGACTTACCTGGGGCATATCGTTGGGCATGGTATGGTGAGACCCAAGGACGCAAACGTTAAAGCCATCTTGTCCTTCCCCACTCCAAGGACGAGGAAGGAACTCATGCGCTTCCTGGGGATGTGCGGCTACTGCCGTCGGTTCTGCAGTAACTTCTCCAGCGTGGCCGGACCCCTCACAGACCTTACCAGTTCTGCGGTCCCTTACATCTGGAACCAGAGGTGCGACCAGTCTTTCCACCGCCTCAAAGC